TAGTTACTTTTCATAAAAGCATGTTATTTGTGTTAATGTAATATATTTATTATTTTATTTTAAAATAGATTAATACATATTTAAATTTTTCTCAGTTTTAATTTCTAGTATGATAAATATTGGTAGGTTATAGCCCACAGAAACAAAAGCTCTTTGGAGTCCCACAGTAATTTATAAGAGTTTAAAGAGGTCCTGAAATCAAAAAGTTTAAGAACTGCTGACCTAAGATTTGACTACGAGGAATGTTCCAGCATAGCTGTCCGGCTTTTGAGGACTGGACCTTTATTTTCATCTCATTGTTCTGGAATCATAAAAAAAAGTCTAGGTTCTCCCAGCCCCCATTAGTAGACCCAGGTTCCTCTTTAGCTCACACACTAGTCTTACCTGTGTCTGGAACGGGAAGCAGTAATTGAGGGTCTTCTTGACCAGGCCACATGCTGACTCCTCTGTTATGGGATTTAGGTAGAGAAAAAAGCCAGGTAAATAGAATTCTCAATATTTTTTCCATAAGCTGCTTTTTTATTTTCACAGATCTGATAGTTGTCCACGTAGTTATGTAGGTTTTAATGAAGCTGTCAACTTGGTCTTTGAAACCAGAGAGGCTTATAGCTTTATGACTTTGGGCAAGTCATTTTTATTTCTCTGCAATAAAATTTCCTATACATGAGGTAAAACTGGGTGTACAATAGGATTTATTATGTTGTTGATATTTAGTAGGTATGTCAATAGGATAATTCTCATCCCCGTTGTTCCTACTGGAAATTTTCTTGGACTTGGGTTTGAGGTGGCAGTTAGCTTGACTGCTTACTCTGTTTGTAAATGCAGCCTGAGTGACTGCAGACTTCTATCCAGGAAAGCTGCTCAGCCCAATTGTTGGATATATTCTATTAAGTTCATGTTTTTATAACATATCCCACCTTCCTTCCCCTTATCCCACACACGTGCACACACACACAGATTGTACAATGAAGCAAGTTGATTTGGCGTATGATCAATCATACCTTTTAGATTATCAGCTAATTTGTACTTGGCTCTTCAGAAAGCTTATAAACACTTGGATATCGTACTGGCAAGAATGAATAACCCTCAGTGAAAGGGTAGGTCCTTAGGGACTAGCTCTGTTCTTTTGAAGATATGTGCGCCATACTTTCAGATATGAGCACATAAGTAGTCTAAATCATACCATACCAGACTTTGTTCAGAATTGTCCTTCTATATTAAATCATTCTCCACTTGCTAATTTTAAAACATAGTCTCTATCTTTATGTTTTTGGGGGAAGTTCTATCTCCACTGAAAACAGAGCACTGAAGAGAGAGGACACATCCTGGCTTTCTGGGGGTTTGTTCTTTAGTTCCCCGTTCCGCAGAGATAGCCCCTGACCGTGGTGCTGTGGCTCCAGGAAGGCCCGAGAGCTGTTAGTGTTGGCACCAGGGAATCGGTGCGCACAGGGACATTGGCTCAAAGGACACTCTAAGTATAAGTGCCTGGAGGTAGGGTTTGGGGAGAAAACAGCATTAAAAGGGGGTCTTACAACTTAAAAACAGTCTCATATCACAATAGTCTTTACATCATGATGTCATCTTTGGTGCATCTCAGTAGTTATGCCTGACTTCTTTTTTTTGGAAAGAAAAGCAGGTTTATTCAAAATGCCTGCATTCTGGGAGGATGGTGGGCTCCAGTCCGAAGGCCACCTGCCCCCTAGGGCTGACTTTTTTTGTCCTGTCTCTTCCCCCACCTCTGGACTGAGCATTGGACTGTTCCTCACTATCTACTCGTCATCTTTCCCATTTAGCCACAGCTCTTCGGTCACCCTCCCAGAGTGCACTCTGCCTTGCTTTCAATTCTTGATAATTGGTTTAGGGTATATTCCTCTCTCTCTCTCTCTCTCTCTCTCTCTCTCTCTCTCTCTCTCTCTCTCTCTCTCTCTTTCTTTCTTCTCTGTCTCTCTCCCTCCCCCTCCCCCTCTCTCCCATCTTTCCTTAAAGACCACCTCCAGCTTTATGACCAAGTGCCCATGACTTTCAGGTGTGAAATATATGAAATTTAAAAACCAGAAAAAGAAAATGGCAAGTGAAAGGGTAGGACACTGGTTTGGAGGCCACTTACCTAAATTTCTGGGAATGTATGTAAGCTTGCAAAGTGCCAGTTTCCCTCTGAGCACATTGTTTATCTCCATGTTCATGGACATAAAATATAGACAGTAGTAGCTGAGGCTCCACTTCCATTCAGTTTCATTCTCCTAGTACTTACCATCCTACCGTTGTCTCCCAGACCATTTGGGTACTTGGTTTGCCCCTAATGAATATACATGAGACTGGTGTTCAGCTGACGGTACCTAAAACTAACCAACAAACCTTCTCAAATGCTTGAAATAAAATACTCTTTTGAGTATTGACAATGTTGGAAGAGCAAAGATCACTTAGAATATCATTACATAGATGAGTGCCCTTGTGGTTAAATGACTTGCTTGTTGGAGATAAACTTAGAACAGAATCCAGGTCACTTCCCTTATCAGCACTGTTTTTCCTGTACGGACTCCAGTTTATTTGTATCTAATGAAATTATTACCATGTCAGTTTTTTGGAATATAATGGAATTATTTCGGAATGAGTTGCTAAAATAATCCTACTCTGAGCAATCTAGAGATGTACTGTAACTGTGTCCCTGTATTTATAATGACTTAGCTAATAAGAAAGAGTACTTTGAATCCAGTAGGGGAAGTAGGTAAATAACAGTACATTCATCATCCCTTTTTTTGTATATTAATTGAATGATCCTAGTTTTATTGGTAGGTAAATCTTATTTAGGTGGTTGTCTTGCTTAAAGTACAAAGACGTATATTCTGTGCAGGAGTGAAAATATGTTAGAATTATGTTTTTAATTTTTATCTTTATCATACATATGCCCTAATCAAGTTCTTGTGAAGCATAACAGTACTTGTACAGGGTTTATTCATGGGCTCTTCCTCAAATAGGTGTTGGTTTTCTGCCGTCTCTCTCCTGTGGTCTTTGCTATTTTGGAGAGTATCTGAGAGTATCAAAGACACTCTGAGATCATGTAAAAGTATCTGAAATATTATACATAATAAATCTGTTTATTAATCAGGAAGTATTTACTGCGTTTGATATGTTTTAGCTAGATGCAGTAAGTACAGCAAATAACGTTAGTTTTTGTTTGAAAATAAAATGTTTTACATGTAATGAGGACTTCATAAAAGTATATGTTGTGATGTTGCTTTTGGCTTTTTTATTATCAAATAAGCATTGGTTATTTTTTTATCTCCCAGAGAAAGAAAAACAAAATTGATGAGAAGAAAAATTTGCCCCCCCTTTTGATGAAGTAATTCAGTGAATCTTTTATTTATGTATTGTAACCATATGTATTCAGCGAGAAGTTTTTCTTCTTTTTTCTCCTTCTTACAACTAAACAGCTTTGGGCAGAAGCATGCAACCTGTTTGCTATTAAGTTTCTCTGAAGTAAGGCCAGAAAAATTTTAAAATATTTTGACTTAAGATGGTTTAGGAGTGTGGTTATGTCTCAATTTGTTCTGACTTGATTGAATAACATCTTGGATTGTCAAAGAAGTGATGTAATGAGTGTCCTCTCATTCTACAGAATATTCTTAGGCTAACAAATACATTTCCCACATCATATAATGGAGAGACCCCCTAATTTGGGACCAGTTTCCCTGCTCAGAACTGGTCTCGTTTTGGGTTTTTGCTGGGTTTTGTTAGATTCTTGTCTTTTTCTTTCTTAGTAAGTTTGAACTTGCTACCCTAAACTTTTTTTTTTTGAAATTTTCAATTTTAAAAATTAATTTTGTAAAAATTTGAAACAATTTCAAACTTACAGAAAAGTTGCAAGTACAGTACAACTGTCTTTTGTATTAAAGAATTGGAGAGTAAGTTGCCAACATGGCTCAGTGTCCTCACAGGAGGACATTCTCCTCTAGAACCACAGTACCTGCAGTAGCACCAGAAAATTAACATTGACATATTGTTACCATCTCATCCTCACAAGACAGACCTGTGAAAACGAGTCAACCGGCAAAAAAGGAAAATTTGACTACTGTATTATGCAAAAATGGTCACAGTTGAGAGAAGGTCCAAATGTGTATCAGAGAAAATATGTGTACTTACTATAAACTGAATGACACATTAAGAGGCAGGTGAAGATGATCATAGTGGGCTGTGGCCCATTATTTGCTTAAGAGCTCCAGAGCCTGTCTGCATTCCCCTTGATGCTGTATACGTGCGCTCTTCTGATGGCCGATCGCTTGACCACAGGGTAATGCTAGCCTTCAACTCTGCGGTTGGCCCTGGTACCACTTCTTGGAGTCAGCCATCTTGGTCTTACTGGTCCGCTTCCTGATGTAGCTTCCGGGAGTGCAGTTATTCAGCACCAGAGTCGGTATTTCAGTATAGCAGAGGGTCCTTCAGTGCTTGCAGCAGCCGCTGTCCGCTGTACCTTAAGGATGGTCTTGCATGAGTGAATGTCCAGCCTAATAGATCTATTGCTGAAGAGTAAGAGAACTCGCTCTCTGAGATCAAACAGATCCGCCTTTTGCTTTCACCTTATTCCTGAGAAAATAGTCCTAAATGACATTCTTCATATCATTTTTCTCAGATTTATATTAGAAAGAGCCGTCATCAAAGTGATATTAAGGTTGTGAAGTAGATGCACTAAAGAAGTTTTTCTTAGAAAAAGTAAAAAGGCTGATTAATAAGGACAGTTCTTTGAAGGAACTATTATAGGAAATCTTAGTTTTAAGAACTCTTTTCTTGATAAGATTTTAATGTACATGTTTACATAAATGTTGATTAACTTTAAGGTTTTTTTAACATTTAAGAAATTCAAGAAAAAATTTACACATTCCATTATCTCATCAAAGTGACTTTTTTTATTGATTATATGTCCATTTGTATAACTTTTACAATAAAAACCTTGTTTAAATTAAAAAGTTATTACACATATAAATTCTGATTATATGTGCTCTTAGGCTCTTGCAGACCAATTTGAAGATAAGACTACACCGGTATTGGAACGTCTGAAGATTTTTTATTGCTGTCAAGTACCACCTCACTGGGCCATTCAGGTATTTTTGTTGTTGTTTGTCATTGGGTATGGAAAATACTTCGCATTTGAAAGATAAAAACATTAGAAAACAATTATTTTCAATTTATGTTTGTTTTCAGATCTTTAAGTGAAAAGAAGTAGCTGAGGATTGTCAATTATTTCAAATAGCTGTTTTGATGAAGGTGATATTAGACTTTTAAAACATTTTTAAAAGAATTTAAAACTAGATAAACAGAATCCTTGAAATTAAATAATAGAACCACAGAAGCTTTCGTTTTCAAAATAAGCTTTTATATTTGAAAACCCTTTAAGGACTTTTTGCCAAAGAATGAACCTTTTGAACCAAGTGATTTACAAACAATAAAAGAAAGCATTTATTTGATTCTCTATATTGTAAGATACCCTTAACTTCTCTCCTCTTTCTGGGGATATGAGATTACCTACTGTAGCTCTTAACGCCCTATGTTGGGATGGAGATTCTGGCCCCCTGGCCCATGGTTCTCCATGTTATAGGTGTGGTTCCCCTATTTTGTAAAATGTTTAGTACAGAAGACAATTTAGACACCTGGACAAGTTTGTTAATTTTACAGAGAAGAAAACTGAGGTCCAGTACAATTAAGTATACTTTTTCAATGTTGATCATACACCTGTTCATAATCTAGATCTCTATTCTAGTTTTCCAACTTTTAGTGTAGTTTACCTCCTTTCCTTATCTCTTCATTGGGTTGTAATTACAGCCCCCAATAACAATCAAATTTGCTGCACCCTTAGTATGAGGCTTGCATTTTGTTTTGCATTTCATACACATTATCTTATTTTATTGCAGCAATTTTGTGAAATGTCCCCATTTTACATGTGTGGCAGCTATGGCGCAGAGAAGTTAGGTGGAATCAAGCGGCGCCAGCCAGGAATTTCTAGATATTTTAGTAACTGTTGTCATTTTAACCAGCTTTCTGTCATCTCCCTCATGGATTATGCACATAGCTAGTGATTTAGAATTATAAATGCCAATCTACCATTCAGTGATTCAGAACACCCACTGTAAGATTTCTCAGAGCCGTTTATATTCTTAAGCACAGGAGAAACTAGGGGATTTATTACGCATTGGAACTCACATTATCTATTGAAGGAGTGTCAGTAAAATGTAGGCACCTAAAAATCTTTGCTATATGATCTCAAAGGAGTAGCTGCTTCATCAAGAAAGTTTAACAGCTGGAACTTTTTGCCACGTTGTTGACCCTGATCTGTGAAATTTCTGAAGTACTTTGTACTGTGTGGTTTGTGGTAGGTAAATGTCTCAGACTCTGAGCTATTATTATGACAAAACATGTCTGTTCAGGGTGTAGCTTTTAACCTGTTTCTGAACAGAAGCATTAGGAAAATTAAATACTATTCAAATAGAATTTAGGCTACATGTTTATTTTATCTGCTTAGGAAGCGATGGGTTTTAGGATTTTTAGGCAGTTAGATAAACATTCTCTTTCATTAAGAAATTAAATCATTTTTTTCTTTTCATTATGGAGAGTATCCATATCTTTATGTATTATTTTTAAAGATCAAGAAATAACAGGCATAGTTTATTATAAAAAGAGAATTAGTCTCTGCTGCTACTCAGCCATATGCTTAGATGCCATAACTTTCGTCATCTATGAAGTGAAAAGATTAAACTGCTGAACTATAATACATGAGCACTAAGATTTAATCCAGCTCCCACATGCTAGGTTTATTTCTTGAAAATATCCAGTCAAATATCCTAAAAAAGCCAATTTCTCCTATATTTCATGGGATACAAAAGAACTGGACGACCTCCTTTATTTATTTTGATAATATATTAACATATAATTTTCAGGTATATTTCATTTTACTTTCTGATTTTGTTAGTCCTGGATTTTCCACATCCATTAGCTTCTTAACTCTTAATATCTATTGAATTTTGAAGAGTAGAAAAAGTGTGCTTAAGAGAAAACACAGTTCTTACTGTTAAGAGATGACACCTTACTCAAGAACCTCACCTGAATTTTTAAACCTTTCTGATACCTTTTTCCATTCCTGCAGGATGGACCACTTATAAGCCGCAATATATTTATTTTTCAATATGTTCAACCTTCAATGACCTTACCAGTATTTGTCTCTTTTTATCTGCCAAGAACTGGGAAACTAGACAGCTAAGTTTTTTAGAACTTAAAATAAATCTAAGTAGACCTGAGTGAGAAAGAGCCAAAGATACGCTCATGAATAAAGTACACAAATATTAATGCATAGACTATATGTCATTTATATTGACTGTTTGGAGTTTTCATTATTTATTTGTGTATTTACTTATTTGAGTTAAGTATCCTTTTATGTTTTTTTCCAGTTTGAGATATAATTGACATATAGCATTGTATTAGTTGTAGGTGTACAACATAATGATGTAATATATCTATATATTGTGAAATGATCACCACAATAAGTTTAGTTACCATCCATCAACTCACATTGTTACAAATTTTATTTTTTTTTTTTTTTTTTTTAAAGATTTTTATTGGGGAATTGGGGGGATGGGAACAGTGTTGGGGAATTGGGGAAAGGGGAACAGACAAGTTGCTGTCATTTTGTTCTTCAATTTAGTTGTGGAGGTTGTTGCTTCACTGGCCCAAGTTGGCACCATCATTGCGCTCTTCTCTGGCGAGGCAGATCAGTCGCCGGCTTCTGGACGGCCGCTCACTGCGGCTGCTGGCCGCTCACGCTGGCTGCTGGCTACATACGGTAGCCCATGGCAACCCACTGCCACAGGGAGTGCAGCCTACGCCGTCGCCGGCGACTCATGGCAGCCCAGCTCCAGGTTGAGCTGTCGTTCAGCATCTTAGCTGTGGAGGGCAGTGTCACTGGCCCTCATATGTGGGATCCGAACCGGGGCCCTCTGGCATCCCAAGTGAGTTCTTAACCATCGCGCCACTCGGCCGGCCCACAAATTTTATTTCTTGTGATGAGAAATTTTTTTTTTTTAAGATTTTATTGGGGAATTGGGGAGGGCAACAGCGTTGGGGAATCAGGGAAGGGGAGCAGACAAGTTGCTGTCCTTTTGTTCTTCAGTCTAGTTGTGGAGGACGTCGCTTCACTGGCCCACGTTGGTATTGCGCTCTTCCCGGGTGAGACAGTCGCTCACCGGCCATTGGATGGCCGGCCACTCACAGTGGCTCACGATAGCTCATGCCCGCTGCCGGCCAGCCCCACTGCAGGCTATGCCGTCGCCAGCGACTCAGGGCAGCCCAGCTCCAGGTCGAGCTGTTGTTCACCATCTTAGCTGTAGAGGGCAGCGTCACTGGCCCTCATGTGGGATCCGAACCGGGGCCCTGCTGCTCAGAGCTGACTCCCAAGCCAATTCCTAACCAGCATGCCACTCCGCCGGCCTGAGAACTTTTAAGAACTTTTATATCAGCAACTTTCAAATATGCAATATGGTATTATTAACAATAGTCACCATGCTATACATTATCCCCAGGACTTACTTATAACTGGAAGTTTGTACTTTTTGACCATCTTCACCCATTTCCCCCTCCCTGAACCTCCACCTCTGGCAACTACCCATCTGTTCTCTATATCTATGAGTTTGATTTTTTTTAGATTCCACATGCTATCATACAGTATGTGTTTTTCTCTGACTTATTTCACTTAGCATAATCTCCTCAAGGTCCATCCATGTTGTCTCAAATGGCAGGATTTCTTTTTTTTTTTTATGACTGAATAATATTTCGTTATATATATTATATATTGAATATAGATATATATTGAATATATATAATATATACATTAAGTAGATTATACACACACACACACACGGTTGTCAAAAAAATGTATACACATGACTTGTATTCATGTTTTGTTATCAGTATATATTGAGTATTATAATTTTAATACAGTTTTTTCCTTTCTTAAAATGTGTATACAAGTTTTTTGCACCCTCTGTGTGTGTGTATGTGTGTGTGTGTGTGTATACCCTTCAGTGTACACTTAGGTTGTTTCCATATCTTGGCTATCATAAATAAGGCTGTAATGAACGTGGGTTGCAGATATCTCTTTGAGATAGTATATTGTTTCCTTTGGGTAAATACCCAGAATTTGAATTGCTGGATCATAAGGTAGTTCTATTTTTAATTTTTTGAGGAACCTCCATACTGTTTCCCATAGTGGTTGCAGCAATTTACATTCCCACATTCTAACAGCGCACAAGGGTTCCCTTCTCCACATCCTCTCTAACACATGCTATCTCTTNTTCCCACATTCTAACAGCGCACAAGGGTTCCCTTCTCCACATCCTCTCTAACACATGCTATCTCTTATCTTTTTGATAATAGCCATTCTAACTAGAGATTTAAAAATTGATTTATTGGATCTCAGCTTTACAAATGAGAGATTGTCATACATAGAATTTCTGGGTAAGAGAAAAATACTGAATTTTGCTTTTTAAGTTCTCCTGAGTTCTTGGGGGAAAATTGATATATTAAGTATTTTGAACAGTTTCTATATTGTTTTTAAATTCCTCACCCCCTCCCCGTAAAGAAGCTTGCTAACTAAAGGTAAGTACTGAATCATTGCAAATTTCTAATTAGTTGAGGTTGACTTGTATAAAGTATGCATTCATTACCATAAGCAGACCTCTAAATTGGCAGATTGTATATACTTGCATGTGAAATAAGAATCTGTCTTTGCATCAAGAAATGTTCACTATTTTAACTTGATTTTTCTAGCGCCAACTTGCAAGTTTACTCTTTGAGTTGGGATGTACCAGTTCAGCCCTTCAGATATTTGAGAAGCTAGAAATGTGGGAAGATGTTGTCATTTGTTATGAAAGAGCTGGGCAGCACGGGAAGGTATGTAATAGCAACATTCTGTGTACTGGTGAGAGCCTTCGGTCTTTCATCATCTTCTCACTTGTTTTGTTTTTTAAGCCTACTTTTGCCAACAGTTCACTTTTATTCCTTTTTTTTTTACTTTTTCCTCCCATAAATCTTAAATGTTTTCTTTAATTTCTGTTGGAGCAGATTATTTTATGTCTGCATATGTATGTATATATAAAAGAGAAAAGCGGGCCAAAATTGATATGGTATTTGATGTTTAAGAATGAATAATGAAAGCTTTAAAGACACTGCACATTTTGATCTCTTTCCTTTGCTAACTGTCCTCCTGTAGGACAACTTCAAAGTGCATTATTAGGAATTATCTTAAGCATCACTGGGTGGCCTGCGGAAGGTTTCCTAGGAGGGAGAGCAGCTGGCTGGCTAGGTCTATGGAAGAAAATCTAAAGGGTGTGATGACTTCGCATTGGGGCAGAAGGTTGGCAAGTGTAATGCACATTTAAGTCCACTTGAAATTGGGTCAAGAGGGAAAATGTTGCAATATTTGCATCTGTTATTAATCTGTTGTTTCCCCCTCCTCATAAATGAACAGAATTTTAAAGGGAGTAAGGGGCTCTACATTGTGAATATCTGTTAAAACTGACTCACTGAAATCATATGTTAATTCTGCATTAACATTTTAAATGACTAAACTTCTATCAAAAGTATAGTATATAAGCAGAGTAAAACCCACAAATGGTATCATTTATACGAGGTCTGACAATTAAGTTCGTGAACTTGTTGCAGTGATGTTGCTGACCTTGTTTGATATCAGAGGGATTATTCATTATGAATTTGTACCAACTGGACAAACAGTTAACCAAGTTTACTATTTGGAAGTGCTGAAAAGGCTGCATGAAAAAGTTAGACCACCTGAACTTTTCGCCCACAATTCATGGCTCTTTCATCACGACAATGCACCGGCACACACAGCACTGTCTGTGAGGGCATTTTTAGCCAGTAAACAAATAACTGTATTGGAATTCCCTCCCTATTCATCTGATCTGGCCCCCAGTGACTTCTTTCTTTACCCGAAGATGAAGAAGGAAGTATTGAAAGGAAGACATTTTGAGGACATTCAGGACATCAAAGGTAATAGGACGACAGCTCTGATGGCCATTCTAGAAAAAGATTTGCAGAATTACTTTGAAGGGTAAACTAGGCTCTGGCATTGGTGCAGTTTCCCAAGGGGAGTACTTCGAAGGTGACTGTAGTGATATTCAGCAATGAGGTTTGTAGCCCTTTTTCTAGAATGAGTTCACGAACTTAATAGTCAGACTTGTATCTACAGTCAACCTTTTACCATCACCATAAAAAGAGAAATAGTGGTACAAGTATGGTCTGTTTCTTAAGTATGTCTGTTTTAGACTAGTAGTAAAAGCTGCATTCCTTTCACTAGTCACTAATGGCAGTTAAGGTCTTTGAATTGTATCAGCTTAAGGAGAAACCAGTTTGGGAATAAAATTTTACTGTAGGAGATTATGTTCATCCTGGGAAAGAGTGTCATAATTATCCATTCCAGTTCCCTCCTTTTCCAAATAAGGAGAGGAGTCTCTCATGATTTGCCTCAGGCCACAAAGCCAGTTATTATTAGCTTGAGAGGCTACATGGCATAGTGGTTAAAAGCATAGCCTCTAGAGCCAGGCTGCCTGGATGCAAATGCTAGCCTTGTCGCATGCTCGCTTTGTGATACCAGGCTGGTTACTCACCCCCCCCCCCCAATGCCTCAGTTTTCTCATCCAGATGCACATAATCTACCACCTTACAGGTTTTCATGACATAATGGATGTAAAGTACTTTCCTCAGGGTGCTACATGAGTGTTTGCTACTATTAACTGCTGTGATTGTAAGACATTTTTTCACGTTAACATCTCTGAGTTTAGAATGTATCTAACACTTGATGGCTCCTTCCAGTTGCTGTCAGTCAGGTGGCCTTCTGGCCAGGTTGTCATTACCTGTGCCTGTACAAGCTTAATTGGAGCCATATATAATGTCATTATTTTGACTGAGTTATGTACACGGTGTCAGCATTACATATGTTGGATGTAATTGCTATTTAAAATGTCTTCAAAAAGATTCTTTTATGATTTGGCATCAGAACAAAAAAGTTACTGAACACACAGAAAAGGACAGCAACAAAGTAGAGGAATGTAAATTTGATATTAGCAAAGTAAACATTTGCCATTGGAGAAATCATCACAATTCCATTTACTTTTCTTTAAAAACAACAACTAAGTGCTTTGTAGGAGCCAAGAAAGGAAGACACTCCAAAGTAGAAGAAGCTGTGTTTTGTACTGAGGCATGTAAAGAACGGTTTCCATTTAAAATGTTGAGCAATGTATTGAAGGCAGGAAAAAATGCCAAATTTTTTTGAATAGATTGAAAAAAAATATCAAAGCAGTGAGAGGGCGATGTGATCCATTCAAGGCATTATGTCATAATTTAACTGAAAGCATTTTTTCTTTATTAGTTAAGAGTTAGTCTTACAATTGATGGCGTCTCAAATTTGATGAAATATAGTATGTTTCTTCAGGGACTTAAAAAGAAAAGAAATTTAGGGCCTGTTGTCTGGCACTAAAGTAGTACTCAGATGTTTATTTAACAAAGGAATGAATGGATGAATGAATATCTTGACCCCCAGTCTGATGTAGTTCCCATGACATCATTCTGCACGGTGGCAGTCTTTTACATTGGTCAGTAAACAGATAAATAACAACTGTGTATAAAAATATGGTAGTTTTTGACATAGTGATTTTTGAAATAATTAAGCAAGTTGGTGAATCACAAATAATCCAAATCACGTAAGTTTATTTAATTATTTTTAGAAAGTATGGAAAGTAGAGGCTTTCTCTAACTGCAGAAGAAAAAAAATCTAATGAATCCATCCCTTTCAGATAATAGATTTGACTATGTCCCCCAAAGTAGTTGTGATATTATTATTTTTTTAAAATTATGCACGACCTTGTAAGAAATGTCTTATAATAATGGTAAATTTCCATATTTATAATTACTCTATAAAACGTGCATATTTTCATTTTTAGGAGTGTATAGTTCCTTGTCTGAATCTTTTGTGAGTTACAGCCAAACATCCCTCAAAATCTTGATTTTAAAGGTTGATTTTAGCATTTTATTTGCCACCTGAAGGACTTGCCTTACCTGTTTTTCTTATGCTATATTTGCAAATCCCGTTTAACCATAGACACTAAAAAATTTTGCTTCAAGTTGAGGTTCTTTTAGGATTTGGTCATGTGTCAATAGTTGTCACCACATTTTGACTTCACTAGAAGTTTGTGAAATTTTAATCATTGCATTAAGTTCTTAATGGCATAATTTATGATTAAAAGGCACATTCTGAAAAGTATCTAACTCTAACCGTTGTGTTCTGGTGTTCGTGCTTCCACCCCGCTATTGCAGGGCCTCAGATTTTCTAATTTAGAAACTACCAACAGAACTTCTCATTATTTACTGACCACTGGCAAAATAGCTAAGACTAATTTTGCTTGACCTTGGGATCAGACCTGGCTCTCATCTGTTAGCATGTAACTTTTAAAAGTTATCTGGCACACTGTAGTAATTTTCCAGAGGGTATAGACACATTCTTATTTGGTTGAGCAAATCTGGTCCCTAAATGAAGAACAGAGACTGAGCTGGCATGAGGCACCTGTAGGAGGTGGGGCTGACCGGAAAGGAGAGAGAAGAGTTGGGACCGCTCTTGTGTTCCCTTGTTTCTAGGAAACAAGGTTTACCTGAGATTACATAGCCTTTTCTTTCATTTTGCGACAGTTGCAGATCATTGTAGCCATGGGCTTTTAAAAAAGTTGTCCTTTGAATTGCAAGTTAATATTTTTAACATTTACCATTTCTAACAGCTGAGATTCTTTTAGCAGTTGGTTTGGGTTTTTGGTTATTTTTTTTCTTCTAAGATAATTCCTTTATAGGATTTAAAAGATTTCCCGCAAGTTCTTTTCTCCCACGACAGCCAGAGTGATCTCCCTAACAGACAGATCTGATCGCATCGTTCCAACACTCTTCCATAGCTTGCCTTGGTCCCCAAGGTGGAGTCGGAGCTCTTTAGCGTGAATGGAAGTCTCATGTGGCACATAACACACGCCACCTCATGATTGGACTCCTGCTTCCATTGTACACTGCTTTTGTATCTCTGCTGCAGCCGTCCCCCTCTTTTTATTTGCTCATCCAGGCTGTGCCCAAAGTTCCAGCAGGAGTAAACTCCTTGTGATTTCTGGAGTTTGCCGCACTGTGTGACCTCAGGACCTTTGTATATGCTTGTGTCTCTCCGGAGCTCATCCTCCTTCAGCCAGCTCCTCCTTGGTAACCACTTTCTACAGGGAACTTCCTCTGCTCCCTCCCTCCCGGACTTGGTGGTTTTCTCTGGGGTGCTCCTCTGACCCCAGCAGTACTCTAAGATCCCTGGCTTATCTCGCCTACCAAACCGTAAGCTGTTTAAGATCCAGACTTGTGTCTGTGTTAGTTACAGCGGTCCCCACAACACCTCGCACAGGCCTGCCACATGGTAAGCACTTAAAAGTATTCACTGAATGACTAGTAGGTGTGCTCTGAAAAGCCATTGCACTGAAGCAAATCTCTAAGTAAACGCTCCATATGGACTTGATGTGCAGTGAAAGATACCTCTCCAACCCCTGCCCCGTAGCCTCTCGCCAGTAACAAATTATGAGCTCTCCCCCTTCCCATTTTAACCTTTTAACATGAAGAATAGAAATGGGGGCCATGTTCAGCAGATGCTAACGATACTGTGAGCATGCTGTTATTACGTCATGCCTCTTATGCACTATAATTTTATATAATTACTTTGTCATTGTCATATAATATTTATAACCACCTACGAAGAATTGCTTTTGCCTTAGTAAGTGGCAGATTTTGGAATCCGAGCTCAGACCTTCCTTTTCGAGAAAGCTCACCGTCCTTTCTCCACACCTGCCTTTTATCACGGTGGTTGT